TGTCTCTTTTAAACAGTTTTCTCCCTCCTCTGTTTCAGTGCAGTATACATTATTGAACCCATCTTACTCAGTGTCTCCCCAACCCCAAGGTCAGTCCTCTTTTACAACAGTGGCACCATGCAATATTTGTCCTTTTGTGACTGGGATATTTCACTTAGCATAATGTTTTCCAGACTATTGAAGGAGATTCTTCCAAATAACTGACCTAACATCTTCAGAAATACCCCAGGTCATGTAAGTGGAAGGACAGAGGAACAGACGAGTGCAGTGATCACTGACTAGAATGTAATGTTTATTGTCAAGTTGACAAAACTTGAGTTAAGACCCTGTCTGCATCATGCATATGAAGGAGTCTTTCAGACTATTCTTAAACATTTTCTCGAAGTTTGAAAATACTTCTTACATAGTAGAAACTTGGAAGACCTTTGAGTATATAAGAGATGGTGTTTTGATAGAAGGACCCGGTGATAATAGGACGACAAGATGGATAATCTCTCTAGGAACATGCTAGACTAGCTAGAATGTCCTGAGATGCACAGGAAGGGGTTTGGGGGCCCTACCATGGACCGCTGTTAGTCTCCACCACAGACAATGGTTATCTGCTGCATAAGATGGAAACTTAAGCTTGATACTGGGGGGACTGGACATTGTCTTGTCTGTAATTCATTAGCACAAGAGGAGTAAAGGCCTAGTGAATGAGATTTAGAACAAGCCACGACTAAATTTTGTGAAAGCAAACTGCCCATTTTCATGATGCTGCAGCAGCCGCCTACTAGAGCCATTCCTAAAGGAGGCTGCTGACATCCTACTTTTATTCACACCATAATTTACAAAGATTCTCACTGTAATTTCTGTTAGTTTAACTTAGTCCAAATAAAATTGATAAAAGTTTGTTGGAGTTTTGTTTTGTTTTGTTTTGGGGGTGTTATTTTCTTTTTTTAAGCGATTCTTATGTAATAGGTTTTCTTTTTTCTAGAAGGCCACTTAAAGGATCGATCACATTTGTGATGGTAATATGCAATTTCATGTGCTTGAAATTCTCTTTCATTTAAAAGGTGCTGGCCGACGGATTCCTGATGATTGGGATCGATGGCTCAGAAGCAGCAGATGGCTCTGACTGGTTCTGTTACCATGCAACCTCTCCTTCTATTTTCCCTGTCGGTTTCTGTGAAATTAACATGATTGAACTTACTCCACCCAGAGGTACTTCATTTTTTCTTCACTTAAACATGCGCGTACATCCAGGAGCTGTGGAGTGCATTAAAAACATAAAGCACCTTGTTCTAGTTAGCTGTGCTAAATTACATTAGCAGAGAATTCTTCTTGACATCTATACAGTTTACAGTATGAATAAAATAGAGTATGAATTGGTATTACTCTAAACCCTGTTGAGACAATGCTGTAAGCTAAGCAGGCTGTTGCATACATAATCTTTTTTTTAAATGAGAAACTTTAGCCTTGAGGGATAAACACATTCCCACCCTCAGATTACCAGATGGCTTTCTTTAAGAAGGTATATCTCACAACAGATAGCTTTCATACCTTAACCAGTGAGTTTCCAAAAGTGATTAAGTATTGGGTTTTCCTCTAAAGAATGGGGAAGGGAGGAAAATTAAAACAGAGGTCTATAAAAAAGAACATCTGCTCATCTTCTTTTTTGTCTTACAAAGTAAAAAATACACCAAAAAATGTTAAATGCTGAGTTGTTCTAAACCTAGTGTTGAAAAGGCAGAAATCTGTACTTAAGTAGACAAGAGGCAAAGAGAATAATCCCTTTTGCATTAAAGTAGACACAACTGAATCTGCCTGGAAATGAAAAGGAATCCTTTTACCATGGGGCGGGGGGGGGGATACCACACTCAGCTCTGTCAGAGCATAAGTTTAAAATGTATCCTATAATCTACACTGTAGGGTTTTAGTGTGTACTGAGTCATCTTTTGTTTCATATTATGCTCATTTGAAATGAACTGTTGCTTAGAGCAGTTGTGTTTTTCAGGTTACACAAAACTTCCTTTCAAATGGTTTGACTACCTCAGGGAAACTGGCTCCATTGCAGCACCAGTAAAACTGTTTAATAAGGTAAGCTTCAATGTCGGCGGGGAGGGGCCATGCCCTACATATTCAGATTCTTGTGCAGCAAAATATCTTTGTTTTATTGGAGATTTCTTAGTAGGATGTAATAGGATCAGAACTAGTACCTGCAAAATAATATAAACGTTCTTTTTTAAGAGTTGAAGCCTGTTTCCAAACTCTTTCATTTTCAATCTGACTAAATTAGTAATGAATACATTTCCTACCTAATTGTTAAGTGCTTCATCTTCCTAATATTATATTCATTAGCAATTCTCTGAGATTTGGGGTTTAATATTTGGCTGTATTGGCTATTATTTGCTTTTTTGGTGTTGATGGAATTGTGCGTTCTTTTCATTAGTGTAATGTTTGGCTTTTCCATACCAGGATGTTCCAAATCACGGATTTCGTGTAGGAATGAAATTAGAAGCAGTAGATCTCATGGAGCCACGTTTAATATGTGTAGCTACAGTGACTCGAATTATCCATCGTCTCTTGAGGATACATTTTGATGGATGGGAAGAAGAGTATGATCAGTGGGTAGACTGTGAGTCCCCTGACCTCTATCCTGTAGGGTGGTGTCAGTTAACTGGATATCAACTACAGCCTCCGGCATCACAGTGTAAGTTGGTATACAGAAAAGGTGTCCTTTTGTAAAAATCTGCAATTCTCCAGAGGACTGTCTCACATAAGTCATCTTGTGAGCTCACAGGACAAGAATATACCTAAGTCTGATTGGTTGCCAGGTAAGATACTAAGACTCAACAACATCATCACAGAATCAGACCATGTGCATTATGACTGACTGAACTCAGTAGTCAGTCACATAATGATGATAGAAAAACAAAAGGAAGAGCCTTCACAGATTTGAGAAGAACTCTTTGATTAAGCTTAAAATTGCTGGCTAAAGTTTTATTGGTATATAATATGTGTTTCATAAATAATGGAACTTAGTATTGCCTCTGATGATTTTGAAAGATTGAGCACTCTTATTTTCAAATTATCATATATTGAGCATATGGTGGTGATAAAAATAGTTCACCTAAGTTGTATCTAGAATTGTAAACAATGCTCTGGTATACCAATTTCTTCTTTTATTTTGCAGCTTCAAGAGAAAGCCAGTCAGGTTCATCAAAACAGAAGAAAAAGGCAAAGTCCCAGCAATACAAAGGACATAAGAAAAGTGGGTCACCATCACCATGTGGTGTTTACATACATTTCCTAATTGCTTATCAGTTGAGGTCACAGTATTCTTACACAGAAAATTATGGATAGCCCTTGTTAGAAGTGATGACTGTATGTGTGTGATGCTTAAAGGTGCAGTATGCCATAAAAGGCAAACCCTTACAGTGATAATGACAAATACCAATTAAATTTTGGCTTATAGGAAAAATGATTGCTATGTTATTTAGAACTTAAATGATAAAGAATAGAGCCTATGAATGACTCTTTAAATAATATGTAAACCTCCCAAAGGTTAACCTATTTTTTCTTTTTAATAAAAGCGTGTTTAATGGTTTTTATTAGACTTGAAACCTAAGGAAAGCCATCTTTTCTATAAACCAAACCTTTTTTCCAGAATACTTGTGAGAAACCCAGGTGGATGGCTAGCTAAGACTTAAAAGCATTTCTCAATCTCTTTTTTTTTATTTTATTTTATTTTATTATTTTGTGTGTGTACCTCAAATCAGATCTGGCTGGTACAGGAGGAGATTGTCCCTCCTCCAGCAGAGCATCTGGTGGATTTGAACCGGGCACCTCTGGGATTGCAGTGCAGCTTCTTGCCACTAGGCCACCAGAGCTCTCTTCAATCTCCTTTCTATACTGTATTCTACCTTATTACGAATGAATATTGGCATTAATAGCCAAACTAAAAGTAAATGTATTTATAGCTATTTAAATCTTTTTTTTTTCTCTTACTTAGAATGTCAGAGTTTTCTCTTCATGAGACTTGCCATGGAAAAGTTCATTCTGGGAAAACTTATTATCTAGAGGAAAAAAAGTAAGACGTGTATGTGAGGATATTAGAGCCAAAATCAGTTTTCCCCACTGACTTGTCACATGACCAAATAAGTACTAATCTGTCACATTAGTGACTGAGAAACTGAAACAGCAAGAAGGAACACGAATACCCTATTTCCATCTTCTTACTATGATAATTTGTTGTTGTTATGTGCTATCAAGTCACCTGTGACTCACAGTGACAACAGCTGTAAACCCTGCTCTATCCCTTGTCAAGTTTATTGTCTCCAACACACCTATCCTTATTACCCCAGTGACAGAATCGGTCTATCTCATTGAGGGTCTTCCTCTCCTGCGCTATCCCTCCACCCTCCCAAGCATGACGTCCCTCTCCAAGGACTGGTCCTGCCGTGCAACATGTACAAAGTGTGTTAGACGAAGCCTCAGAATCCTTGCCTCTAAGGAGCAGCCTGTCTTCACCCTCTCCAGGACGAACTTTGTTGTCCTACTACCAGTCCATGGTATATTGAGTACTCCAGCACCAAAGCTCAAAGGCATCAACTCTCCTTCTATCATCCCTAGTCATTGTCCAGCTCTCTGACGAATAGCAAGTAATTGCAAAGATAGTTTGTTTAGAATTTTTTTTAAGTGAGGAACTCAAAAACTTCCACCAGCCACTGGAGTGGTGGTTCCAGAAAGATGCGTTGAGTTCTTTTTTGGCTTCACAGTGGTGGCATTTCAAAAGCCTCCGCCTTGTCCAATTTCTGCATGGATAAGACTCCCATTTTCCTCCAGTTACTTAGCTCACCAGTTGTTTGCCATGTTAAGTCAGATTCACCTATAAGAGCTTTAGAGAACATCACCAGAGCAGGCAAATTTAAAATGCTTACTTCATTTATGTAGAATATGAAGAAAAATGCAAATGACTGTCAACAGGTTATTGGTAGGATCTATTTCCCAAGCTTCCTGTGAAGTTGAATAATAATGTTTCAGCTTATCTTTACAGATTCTGTTGTATAAGGCTGGGATTTCAGAATCCTTTCTGAGACATAGAATTAAGAATGCTTTATACCTTTCAGTGATTATCTGAGGTATCTTCAAAACTAATTGAGTGTTGTGTGCACTGTTTACATACCTCCTTCAGCATGACTCTCACTGCATTTGTCTGAGTTTAATGATTTTTAACTAATGGACTAGGGGTATAGAAAGAAACTGCATAACTAATGAAATGACTATGTAAGCTACTCTAGTTTTGAGTGATCGTTATGATCGCTGGGTTAGCTGGAAAAGTGAATTTAACATGTTAACTCTGACATAACAGCTTTCATTTTTATGGCATCATCTCTTATTATCATTTGGAAATGGGAACAAGGGGACATCCATGTAGGTGCACAGCCAAATGTGCTAGAATTCAGAAGATTTTGAATTTGAGAAAAGCATTGTGTGTGTATAACACAAATACTATATAGCAATCTTGCAGATAGACAGTTTTGGAATAAAAATTATGTAAATACATTAAAGTCATCAAAGATTATCAATAATAGCACTAAATAAAGTCAGGTTTTCTTAGGAAATTTCTTTGAAAAACTTGTTGAATTTTGGAATTGAGATAAGGAATTGTGCTGTGTTAAAAAGAGGCAGCCTTCGTTTTTAGGATGCAGTCTGCCTACTTTAAGTTTTATATCATTCAGTTTACTGGCAGTGGTACCCACAAAAGTTTATTACCTAAATAGGAAGACCGTGGAGTACCAGATGCCTAAATGCAGTGCAGTTAGATTATTTCAGTAAGAATTGAAAACATTTTACTTGCTTTTTAAGTTTGCCTGAAGATTATTACATTCTGACTCTTTCATCTCTTAGCTCTTGGGTATTTTTGTGCTTGAAATCATTCATCATTAGATTCTTGAGTAATGCTAATCTTTTACAGAAAGAGACCATTTGTTGGTTTCACTATTCTAGCTTGTTTTGTAGTGGACTGTGTTCGTGCTTTGAGGAATAGCCATAGCTGATTTTGAGAATGAGTAGTATTCTGCCAAAAGAATTGTACTAATTTTTGTCTGCACAGCATCTGTTCAGTCTTGAGAGTCTCTTTTGTTTAAGGTAAAGTAATTTTAGAACAGAAAAATCGTTGTTTGTTTCTTACATAGTTTTCTGGGTTGGCTTCAGGTGCTACTGTGAGTAGTGGAAAAAAGGAGATTCTCCAGTGTAGCACATTAGACAAAATCTTATTGATGCTTCACACAATGTGAGTTTGGCACCTGAGAGTTGCGGTATACACAGGGATGGAGTCATTTCCAGATCATCAAAAGATAGTGCTGTCTGGTTCACCTTTAGTCCTGGTGATGTGAGGTGTAATTTATGGTTGGTCTGGTCTGGACCGTTGCATACTATGAAAGAGAGCCGACAATTTGCAGTCGCAAAGATGTGTATCCTTCAGCTTTCAGCCTGTGCTGTGCAGTGTGAGCGTTGTCTGATACTTGGGTATAGTAGTGGCAAAGCAGTCATGTTCTGTTGATGATGGTGAAAGCATTGAAGGCTTACGTTTGCTTAAGTACCCAACTAACATAAGGTTTGTTTCTAAAGAAATTAGATTGCTTAAAGATTTACAAGCAGTGAGCTTTACAGTTTACAAGTACTTCTTGGATTAAAGATTATTTTTTGACATACGACATGGTTACACAGAGAATTAATTGATGGAATTAAGTAAAGCCCTTCTGGCTTACTGCCATTGGTTCCTTCCCGTACTCTTCACCACCACAAAAGGACATATATTATTTCTGTAAAAGTATAGTGAGTATTTTCTGATAGTAGTTTATAAGACAAAAGTTAGAGTACATTACAGAGCAATAAGATCCTCTGCTCAAAAAATAAACTGTTGGACTTCAGTTTGTCCTTGAAGGTGATGTTTGGGTTTACATGGGCAATAAGATGCTAATCTAAAAGTAGAATTTGGAGACCCCCTCCCAGTGGTTTCTTCACCTACAAGTTGAGTCTGCAGGTTTTTCTCAAAAGAAGTTAACCAGCTGTTCTCCACTAAATGTGCACACTAGTTCAGTTTGCTTTTATTTTGTCTTAAAACTATTTGAGAGACAAGACTAAATGACCAGACTCTCAAAAGAGTAAAAGTTATCTCCCTCTTCACCGCCATGCACTGCACACACACTCACTCACATGTACACTCACTCTCCTTTGTTTTCAGAAGTACAAACCATGCAGAGTTGGTTTTCTTTTTCAGAGTGTCCTATGCACCACAAGCTCTCCTAGTTAAATAATGCACGTTTCTTACCACGCATGTAAGTGGAAGCTTACTTTAGTCTGACTTGATATTTAGAGAGGAAGATGCCAATTGGGAAGAAGCCTGTCAGTTTGTCGAGCCTGCCCATGACAGGTGGGGTGCGGAGGAGCTTCTCTGGTGACGAAGAGTTGACTCCTCCTCCATATCGAACCCTTCCAGCACAGACAGCCCCGGAGGCCTTCCCACCTCCCAGCACTAGCCGGGAGTTCAGTCCCAGCCTCAAAACAGGTAACTAGTCACATCAGCACCTCAGGTACTACAGAGGGTAAAGGTGCTGGGTAGGGTGGTGGGAGACTAAGCATGGTCTGGCGTGATAGATGCTGACTCATTAAATTTTTATTTTTCTTTTCAACCAAGAAACTCATTTTCACTAGTCCTTGATAGTCACTTAACTAAATGAATCATCAGGGAAGTACTTTTTCTTTTTATATAGAACCACTTCTGAGCTTCAAATTAGATTAAAGCGAATTTTAAACGTATGGAATTGTGAGACAACATGGAGAGAGTGAGTCTTTCATACATTCGTTTAAAGGATTGAACATTTTGCGTTCTAGAATTCCACTGTGTTACTTGATGTGGGGGAGAAACATACCACTAGAGTCTGAGTGATCTGATCCAGACATGAAGCTTTGCTTGACACAGTCCATAGCATTCCATGGTGCCCCTATCACTGGAGAGGACATGTTTGAATTCCGGTTTACATTTGCTTATGCTGGTAACGTTTACCAAGATCTTCGTGGAATGACTGGAACTTGGAGAGGAGATGCCTGTATGATTTGGGTGTTGAATGTGAGTGAACTCTGTTCTCCTAATGTCATGTTTACATTCGTTCAATCAGATAAATCACATTTAATTTGAGCATCATTGATTAGGCTGTGGTGAGTAGAATTTTAAAGAAAGTGGTGAATGTTTTATCCCCTTGGCAGTTGCGAAGAACAAATGTGGTGGTCTCCTTTGTTCTGTGAGAAATTATACACTGTAGTTACATTGCCATGGACTGAGCCAGTAGCTTCAGAGCCAGCATTTTTCAACATGAATTCTGTGTCCTAAGGACTGCTTTTAAACCAAGTGCTTACATATAATCAGCCTCCTTTCGAGTGTCTGTTGTGTGGTGAAGGCCTAGGAGGACTTGGTGCTTAGCTCCATTTTTTTCTCATGCCTCTCTCCCTCTGTTTTTGCACCTGAGGTAATCATTGCCCCTTTCTGCCATTTTAGGTGTTGAATGTGGAGTATGTGATACTCCTTTTATACCCCCCCCTAACAATGTCTTAGGTCATCTTCATCCTTCCCATCCTATTTTCTGAAGACCATTCTGGTATTATTCATCTGTCAGAAATGACAGTACCAATTTTGCATGGACTTTCCCAGGGTTACCAGCTGTCTAAAGAGCATTCCGGTTATAGCAGCTCTTGTTAGTATGTTTTAATCTTTTTTTTTTTTTTGGCTGTGAACTTTTCTTCTTTTACCAAAGTAATTAACTGTGGATATTGTGAGCCCTGGATGTAGTATATTTTATTAGTTTGGGTCCAGTCGGGCATGACTCATAGTGACCCTCTAAACAAAAGGCCTGAAGCCTTTCTATAATTATCAACATTTATCAAAGTTCATCATTTCCAGGGGCGTGTTGTTTAGGAAGCCTGATTTTGGAAGTGTGTATTAACATTACTTGAGAAGTTGCTGATTCATGTGAACAAGAGTTGGCCTCTAGGATAGTAAACCCCAGAAGTGGAGGCGAGTGCACTGACTGGAAATCATGTGGCTCCTTGAGTGACTCCCTTCTGCCTGTGCTGCCTGTAGTGTCTTTGAGGCTAGGGACTCCCAGTAGGACTTGATGTATGATCTTATTCTGGGGAAGCTACTGTGGGATATATTGCTACCTTAGCTATTCAAAAACTACAGTTAACTTTTGAGGCTGTTTCTTACGTATGCACTTTCTAGCTGGTAGAATAACTGTCTTGCTTCACTTATCCTCATGAATGTTATTGATTAGAGTCAACAAAGTGATTCCTTTTAAAAAAGAGGAGCTAAAATGTATTTGATAGAGATGTGCAGCCACCGAATGAATCGTAACTCATCAGTCATTCACCAAGAATTAAGCCTGGACTGGAGAGATGTTAAATGTGAGGCTACCAGGACAGCCTTACTTTGGGTTCCATGGAAACAATGAGAATTCCCATTAAAACATTCCACATAAGAGTGACTGTTTCACCTTTATCGTGCATGACTGTTTTCAGCATGTCACATCCATATTTCAGTGAGTAGGTCCAGAGACTTCTTGTCAGCAGTAAATGCTCTTGACTGGCTTCAGGCTGTGCTTTTCAATTCCAACTCCTATTTGGTTTTTTAAAAACATTGGTTTGAATGGAACATGTTTTAATCTTGAAGCACAGTAGTTCTTTTCGCATTCATTTAGCCATTTGCTCATCATCTATAACAAGATATTATTTTATTCAACCTTTTATCGTGGGTACTGCACCTTTAATGAAACATTTGTTTTCTTTTGTATTTATTTTCATGGCATCCTTACAATGTTCAGAACACTATTAATGCATGCTGGTTAGAATGGAAGGGTAGCTGCACACATTTTATTATTCTCCATAAAAGCAGTTTTATATTACGTAGCTTTAACTGTACAGTCTTAACTTGGTTTTTATATTTCAAGAATCTGATTCAGCATTGTCTTGCTATTAGTACTGTAGGCTCTAATGTGTTCACTTTTCTGTCTTTGGGCTATTGAATTTTTCACTACCAAGAACCACAGTTAAGGGCCAATGTAAAAAGATAATAAGCACCTCTCAAAAGATGAGTCTTTAAATTTTTAAATAAGATGCCAAGGACTGTTACTTTTAAAAATAATTTCTTATACCTAAAATAAAGACCTAAAAGGGTTTGTTCCCCCCCCATTACAGCAGTGTATCAGTTTATAAGCATAAGTATCCTAATACAGTTCCACATGACAGTTGAGTTAATACTTCTTGAAAACATAATTGGATTATTACTCTTCAAAAGACTTTGAAGCCCTGATTGCCCTCAAAAGGGTTTGTTGTTTTGTTTGTTTGTTTTACCCTGAGCAGTTCTCAATTTACATTCCATATAGCTCTTTCCTCTCACCCCAAATGTAAGAGAATTCTGATGGGAGCAGAGCAGGCCAGATAAATGCAGAAAAAAGCAAGGAAAATCACCTGAGTGGGTGAAGGTGCCCAGTGTGAGCGGGCCTCATGTGACTGTGCTGAGCACCAGGGCCTCTGGGAATCCCAGGCCGGACAGACCCACTCGAGAGTGCTCATCTCATGTCCACAGTACTCCCTGGTTTTCAGATTTCTATGTGAAGATTTCTGGTTTCAAAGTATTTTATACAAACATAAGAATGAGAAAGAATTTTTCTTTTACTTTTCAAAGAGAAGAGTGTGCTGGGGAGGGAAGGCTGGGCAGGGAGGAAAGTGCAACAATGAATGAATGGAAATCCAAAGTCTCTGTCAATTTTCACTGAAATTAATAATAAAAAAATTTTTTTAAAAAGAAGAAAAAAAGAATGAGAAAGCATAGAGTGTAGCAAAAGTGTAAGGAAACACAGTTTGAGACTCCTGGTGGATCCCACCATGGTGGGCACTCCATTATCAGCAGGTAAGGACAGTTCACCTTGCTTACTGTAGGACGAGATGCCAGTGACTGTTCACACAAAATTAGCTTACCTGTTTGTAAAATTCTTGAAACTTTACCAACTTCAATTTTGAGGAAACAATAATTAGCAAAACCTGAACATCTCTGTGAAATGAGTAGTGACTGAGACTGGTCCTTAACAGCTAGCCGAGCTCTACCGCCTGGAAGAGGGAAAAAAGTGGAAAAGACTTTTTTTGGAAGAGGTCTCTGAGAGACAAAGTATACCCTCAAGAAAAGAGGGATTTATAAAATCCAGTAAAAAAATTTCATACTTAATTTGACCAGAGATTTTTGCCTCAGTTACGCACTGGGTCCAGAGAAAGGTGGGTGAAAGCACCCTTCCTCTTTCCCCGTGCTCAGTAGCACCCTCCTTTCCCCTGGAATTCTGTTAGCATCTGTAGTTTTCATATTGCTGAGTTACTACTGATCTCATTTTTTAAAACTAAAAATAATTACTCAAATTTTCCATGCTTTAAGTTATAAAAGTACTCATTTTTTTCTGTGAACAGTCTTTTTTATAAAACACTTCCTGAGAATACTAAGATTGTATTAGTCATATTAATCCATTACTCCTTATTAAATATATCATTAAAAACCATCTAAGAATTGTGTCATTGTTTATAGTAGACACTGACAGAAAAGTGAATACTTCATCATAAGAAAAATGTCAATTAAGATAGATTCATAAGCTCTGTTATTTTGAAGATTCCTTTAAAGATGTTTGGTAATAACAGGCATTTATGTTCCTTTTTTTAAGAACATTCCTAGCTAACTGCCAAAAACTCAAATCAGTTGAATGTTTATACTCCCAAAAGCCTTAATTTTAAGACTTGACAGCTAGGTAAGAGTAAAACTGATAGAACATGAATGACAGTAAAGACATGTTGAATATTCTGGAAAACCTTGCTGATGCAGTGTTTCTCCCTGTTGTACAGTGACTACGCTGCAGCTGAAGGAGGAGCTGCTGGATGGGGAGGAGTACAGTTTCCTCCAAGGAGCATCTGATCAGGAAAGCAATGGCTCTGCCAACTTCTACATCAAACAGGAGCCCTGAGGCCGCTCAGCACCACGGGCAGGCACTGGTCAGGCGCTCGGCACCAAGGGCAGGCAGAGAAGACTTTTACACAGGACTGCTTTCTAGTCAATCCAGCTGTACAGCGGAGCTATTCTACCGGGACATTTTGCTAAACAGAAAATTTCAGTTCCAGATTTTTCAGGTGGGTGGGGAAACTATTTTAGTCTGGGAGGAAATTTTTCAATTTATAAAGATGGACAATTTTTTGTGTTGTATTTGAAGCTTTTGAAAGAATTTTGTAATATTTTCCAAGTTTGGATTTATGTGCATTGTTAACAAGAACTGAAAAATCTAACTTTTTGGTAAGATTAAAGTTTAGGTAGCAGGATTGAAGGAAATGATTTAAGAAGGATATAGTTGTAAATGCAAATGAACTGTCATTACAATGAACCTTTTTGGTACCTGTTGGGAGAATTGGAGTCTTAGAAGTTAGGCCAGTCACATCTCCAGCTTCTTTTGCTGCAGAAATATGCAACTGAACCCTTGATGGAGAGGGTTCCTCACCACATCGACCATGGAAGGAGGAAATAATTCTGCTTGTTAGCATTTTATTGCCACCCATTTTAAATGTTTGTACAGAGGTGTTTTTCATTCTGTGAAAAATTATTTGGAGTTCTATATGAAACTGGAAGAACTCTGGATACTTTTTTTATGTTCTTAGTTTTTAAAAAATTACTAAAATGATCCTAACACTAAAGTGTTAAACTGGAATGGTTGATAAAGTAGATACACAGGATCTCGTCTACATGTTGAGGGGTTGGGGGAAATGCAATACTGTCGTTAAGTTAATTTTCTTTTTCTTGCTGAAAAACGATCCTCAAAAGGGATTCTGACTTGTTCTCTCAGTCTGTGAGATAACACTTGATACAACCACACCCCAAAACAGATGTTCTCTCTCATCAGGAGAATTAAATGAAAAGTTGTTTGAGGCCAAAATAAGTTTAGATTTCACAATCATTCCAGCTCTGCTTTTAACTACCCTGGATTTGTTTGACAACTTCATTTGAAAAACACAGTCTTTAAGTAAGATTCCGTATATATATATATAGTAGGATAGTATTTTTAACTGTATGAAAAATTAATTTTAAAAATAACAAAATTGGACCATTATGAACATTCCCAGTTTTAAATTCATATAGCTTCCTTTCCAGTAAAGGATACAAGGGTAAAATTGGTGAAAGGTTTGCTCTCTGCGTTTTGTAACTTTTCTTCTGAGCTGTGACTGAATAAGAGAGCTCTAGCGTTTACCAGTGAGGTTCATAAACTAAACTCTCAGGAATTAAATGCATCTGTTCTTGAAGTGCTTCTGGGTCTTAGCCTGACCTCTTCAGAGTAGTAACATTGACCATCTCCTCTGGAATACAGGTAGGGCTAATTAGAAATTAATCAAAATGATTAACCTCTACAGTCCTTCAGTCTATGGAATGCTTTAAAAATTGTTAATGGAAAGCCCCGGGAGCCCATTTTAGGTAAGATTTTTGTTGGAATTTTAAAATGCATAGAACGTTAAAAACCAGCAATTTATTTTCTAAAATATTGCTCTACTTTTGGGTATAATAGCATTGGTAATACGCACAGGTTTACCTCATTCTATGCAAGAGGGGTTAATAACATAAGGTTTTATAGTTGCTACTGGAAGTAAAAATTTGTTACTTTATAGTGTAAGAATGTATGGAATTGCATGTCAACATTTCTTAATACTGACTCTGGGGGGCATACATACAGATCATATCAACACAGGTTGATTCTCATGTGTCAAATATATGTGAATTCAGCTGTTAAAATTACTGGATATTTATCTTCACAGCATTGCTGAGAGGGACCTACTGTAAGTCAATGTGACATCCTCACACTTCCCAAACCTTGAACTTTTAAGGATCTTCCCATAAACAAAGCCTAGAAGACTTCCAAAGCAAGAACTCCTGCAGTCTTTTATTCTCAGGCTTATTAGTAAATTAAGCCCAGGACTCTGGCTCCATAGTATGGGCACAAGAAGCCAGTTGTATGGCACCACCCTACCACCACCTTGGAGTTCAGAGGTCAAGGGTCAGCTGAAAGGGGAAGTGACTAAACCAGGAAGGGATACTGTTTGGAGCCAGTCAGTCCTGGTGATTAGTTCTGTGAAATGCTCATTTGTAGCCAAGTTAAATAAGCTTCCAATTCCACAGCTAAACTAGGCTCTGGGTGTTACAGAATTCTGCCCGCTCATCAAGTGTCTCTTGTCTTCATCCCATGATCAGTGGTCAAACAGTCTAAATACAGTCTGAAGCCCTCTTCATTGTTCAGCCTCTTAGCTCCTACTGCTGATCAACAAAAAGGAAGTTAATGCAGAGGAGATTTCCGTCTTAGCCATACTTCAAATAGTACAACCCACAGCCCCATTCTTTTTACAGTTCAAAATGTACTGCTGACCTTGGGTTTGTTTTTATTTTTCTTGTTAGAATTATTTGAGGACTTTTGGTAGTTTAAACTCTTTAACCTTTTCCTTGCTGTGTATGAGGAAAGCTAAAGCTGTTATCAACTTCTTATTCTACGGATACTAACACGGGTTTTCAGTGTTTGTTTGTTTTTATTATTATTAATTTTGCGTGATGTGAATGCCCTCTCCCATCAATATTTGTATTATGGTGCTATATATTTGGTAATGATCCCTTAATATTGGGGAGGGATTTTAAAAATACTGTGATTAAACTCGGTTTCTTCCTTTGACTTTCATATTTTAAATAAAGCCACAGTCATTTATACAAATTAAAAACATCTGTCCCTGGGCAAATCTTTTGAGGACAGAGGTCAAAGAAAACTGCGTAAGATTTTTACATCATTTCTGTATGTATTTGATATATAGATCAATATCTGTACAAATTTAATCTTTTATTTTCTTGGTAACTTGTGATCATTGAGAAAGTGTTTGAAACTTTCTCATGAAGTGTATATAATGGCGTGAAAATTCCTTCAGAGAAATTTATGTTCCTTTCATTTTTACCAAACTGCAAATTTTCAGCATGGATGTGAAAAGCATTAAAATTATAACTTTGTGTACACACGAAAAGTAATTCACTAAATTTGCCCTTTTTTTACACAAAATAAAATGTCAAAGTAAAGTTGTATTTGAGCAGTTCTTTTAATCTGAGAGGTTTCATTCAAAATAGTGCTGAGTGCTGCCTGTAAGAAATGGAGACCCCTTGAGTAAGAGATCAGTGACTTCTCCGAGTGCTCCCATGGGGTCAATAGGCCGACAAGAATATGGGTAGACATGGAGACAAGTCCGAGTGTGTCTGTAAACAGTTAATATGACCAACTGCTGCCCAGTACATTGGAGGTTTGTGTTCACCAATCAGCCAGTTCAAAACCCTGGAGTCATTTGATTCTGCAGAGGGTCACCGTGGTTGGGGTCATGGTCATGGTTATGGACAAGGTTGGGTTTGGAGTGGAATTTCACAGATATGCAGGGTTGGTTAGAAAAGGCAGTAAGAACAGAATTAGAATGAGAACTGTTTACAGGGACATGAAATCATCTTGGCTAGAATATGGTTCAGAGGTTGGCTTTAAAGACACGTTACCTTTAAATTAGATTTAAAAGTTCAGTCTTCTTCAGGAGTTCATTTCATGCTTCATAAAAACAGCACATGTCACATGAAACAGCAGTAGAAACTCTTTTCTACCTTGGAATAAAGCGGTTGCTGTTATTCCAAACAAAAACCCATTGCAGGGAGTCACCTCCCCCTCAGTGTCCAGGGCCCCTAGAGGCAGAGTCACAGAATGGCTCCTCCACCAGCTGCTCTGAGGCGCTAACCAAATTGTTGGGAGGGTTGACAGCTAAGGCTGTAAATGCCTTTGTTTTGTGAACACCTGATGGGTTTGAACCACCAGCCTTTCAGTTACCATTCAAGTGTTTTACCAGGACTCTTGGCTCAAGCAGCCACATAATTTTTCTGATAAATGAAGTCCCAGTTTGGCTCCTTTAAGCCCATGAGCTTTGATAAATGTATCTTGAAACTAATGCATGCCTCTTGAGAAACTAGTTTTCTGGTAGGCTTCATGTATTTCAGCCCTTCCCTGAAGTTAGATACTCTTGGGCTTTTTAGAATCCCAGACCCCAGCAACAAGCTAGAGTTTGCCCATTGACTTAGGTACAGCTGCCAGAGGGGGTTGACTTCACAGACCTGAACCTTGCCCTATCCTGCACCATCATGCCCAAGCCCACGGTGGCAGTCACCGGGTCAAGCCATCTCACTGAGGGTCTTCCTCTGCCTCTCCAGTCCAAGGTGGGCTCCTCCTGACAAAATTCCCAAAGGATAGATTGTGTTTCTTTCCTAGAACCACCAAAGATCAAAGGGCAGCATTTGCCCAGGGGTAAATCTCAGGAGGCAGGAAGAGAGAGGATAAAAAGAGAATGGAAACTAAACAAGGTGGAAATGGGGAGAGCATTAACACTGTAGGAGTATAACACTGTCATGAATCAAAATGTATGAATTATTGAATGGAAAATCACAATAGTTTAAAACGTTGCCGCATACTCTTTAAATTGATGACCGTGCTTAGAAACACATTTGCTGTCATTTACGGCAACATGTTAAAACCCAATCTGGTAGCACATTAAAGTTGGAGATCCTTAAGCTCTGTCCCAGAATCTAATCAAATTTCTTAACTACTTGGCCATACTGAAAACAGCATACCTAGGTATATATGAAATGGGAAACTGAGAAATGCTAAAATTTTTGAATGGTAGATTTAAAGCTAAGATTGACTTTTTTTTTAGCCCTGTTTTGTGTCAACACATGTAATACAGCATTGAGTTGTTCTGGGAGTGGCATTTAGCTTTCAGTAGTAAGCAGAAAATTTCACATTCGTTTAACTCTGAAGTTTTTAAGCCAGACTGCAGATCACAGGGTTATAATCAATTTCAATGGGTAAGGGCTACTGGCATTAGAACTATGCCAGCCTAGCAAAATTATGCATAAAAGCAAAGAATTAAAATGGGCCACAAAATCCAGTCCTCAAACCTATGGCAAACAGCTTAACCACTGTACCACCAAGTCTCCATTCTTCATCAACAGGAAGTTGTTCCCGGTCGTGCTCCAGTCAGTGAACCAGCTCACCTCTTTCCCCTCAGAACCAAGTGAGCTCAGGAGGCCGTACCCAGTTTCCAAAGGCTTTATTGGTAGATGTGCTTTAGAAAAGGATCCTCAGCCCTCCCATTTCCAAGCTTGGAATGAAGACCTGTGTACAGGAGCACATGGAGCAGTCTCAAACCAGGAGGATGCTTCTGTCGTCCACCTCTTATTCATAGATCCAGTCATGGGCACAAGGCTTGTAGTCAACCAATTCCTCTGGCTTAAACCACAGACTGATTTCTTTCTCGGCACTTTTTACTGAATCACTGCCGTGGATGATGTTCCTAAGAAAGAAAAGAATTAGCAGTTCACCAGGTTTTCAAGGGTTTGCTGCTAAATTGCTACTTAAACCAGCAGACCAGTATCCGAGGCATTCTTTCTTAAAAGCAGTTGTCAAATGTCTAACTTAAAAATATCCATAGTTCAAACATTTCCTCCTTAAACGCACATTCTTTCTCTAACTTTGTAGGAACAGTCAAACCAACCTCAGCCTAAAATCCATCAATGAATGCATATGATGTAAGGGCCATTTGGGTTCGATTTCTTTATGGCTCTGGCAAAGCCCAACCAAGAATTCTCCACCCCCCCCCCCCAATGGGACATTATAAACACCCCCCCCCCCCCCCCGTTATCCCCGGGGACATTATAAATACTCCCTTTTCTTTCTAGGATTTAAGATCTACCACTGACTGTTTTCTGTGCCTGACTTCTTTTCCCCTGGGAGTAATTTCTCTCCCAGCAAATGCCTTAGCCTCTGATGCAAATAGCCAGTATTCAACAATTTGCTGGTAAGTTCAACAAATACAAATTCTTGGTAAGGCTTGAAATGAGACCTGCATTACTTCCCCCGCACACACACACACACACACTTTCTTCTCTCTTTTAACATGTAGTCTTCTACAAAGGTTTTTATGGTCATCCACAAATTCCTTCCTGGAAGATGAAAAAATGAGTTGTGTGGAAATTTGAGCACTGCAGCGTCTGGATAGAACCCAGGGACGTACTATGTGAGCCCCTGACCCTGCCTGGATGACGTGAACCATCTTGTTCTAATGGGCAGAGAATTCCCACTTGTCTGTCTCCACTTAGCTCTTTTAGAAGCAGTATCTTGTGTTTTTGAGAAAACTACTGTAGATATCATTTGCAGCAGTAAATTCTAGGGAAATGTGAGTATAGAATGCTTGACCAGGAATTCTTAATGATCATCTTTTATTTAAGTGCTTTTCCCTACCTTACTCCACTTGAGCCTATCTTTGGCAAGTTGGCTGACACATCCATGAAGCCAAAAAGAATCTTCCCTCTTTTCCTTCATACCCAGACCCTCTGCCGTGCCACTCAGTTCTCCCACAGCAGCAACCATCTTCGTTAGAATTTTGAGTAGACCAGGAAAGTATATTTGAGAAAGCTTTTATCACATTACTTAAATTCAAATTGTTCAAAAAATGAGATGCATCAAAAATGTTTATTTTGTACTCCCACTAAATTTGCCTTGGAAGCAAAATGTGTGCGCTCCTCTCAGGACTCACCTGCCAACTTGAATACAGAAGTCCCCACGAATAGTGCCTGGTTTAGAATCTGCTGGGTTGGTCTCTCCAAGCATCACTCGCCCAGTCTTCACCACATTCAGCCCCTCCCAGACCTTGAAGCAAAGAAAAGGAACTACATCAGATCTGCCACCCAGGGCCATTAGGGGTAAATGTTCACTGCTAACCAACAGCTCACACACATCAATCAGATCAATGAGTGACACATTTACCAACCAGAGAAGACAAGAGCAGCTTACAGAAATGCCCACTTGAGAATGTACTGTTAGAATACAGAGCAAAGCATCTATCTACCCAACTTGATTTCCTAATCTAGCTCAAAAATCTCAACCTCCTTGCCATTGAGTCAGAACCTTCTAGCAGGTTTCTGAGGCTGTGAAATCTCAAAGGAAGAGATGGCCCATCTTTCTCCCACAGAGTAGCAGGTAGATTTGAATTACCAGAGATGCAGCACTTGAATCAGCAGTGCAACTCCCTACAGATCACACCACCAGAGCAGAGGGGCACCAACCCAAAAAGCCAGAAATTTGTATGCAGCGGCAAACACTGAGAAAAGGTAGTATAATGGTCAAACTGAAAGAGGAGCTGAGGGAAGAGCTGCTCAGATGAGACGCCATCTTTGCAAGAGATGGCAAAGACCGTCATGAAAGGCAAAGTGATTCCCAAACAGAAGAAAGATCTACCCAGAAAACAGGCAATAGGTCTACTTTAACAAGCTCACTGTCTCATGGTCTTCTATCCAGAAAACTGCCTCATAGTTGACCTCTTCAGGCAGGTTTTCTGAGGCTGTAAATTGCATAGGGGCTTGCCCATCTTTTTCCACACAACAGCTGGTGGATTTGAACCACCAGAGAGAGGCAGCCTTTGGGTTAGCCACATAACTCCCAACGGACAACACAACACCAGAGCTCCCTCCTCACTATACCCTCTACTGTTTGCTTCCAATTGGACAGTAAGAGCCACAGAAAAAAAACTGAAGCAGCACAAACCTACTTTCTAGGTAGGGAGCTTTTGCTTTCTGTGCCATCCAATGGTTGAATTTTTTTCAGGACAAAACAGAAAAATCAGGGGAGCTCTGGTGGCCTAGTGGCAAGGAGCTGCAACTACAATCCCAGAGGCTCACGGTTCGAATCCACCAGATGCTCTGCCGGGGAAGGAGGGACAATCTCCTCCTGTACTAGTCAGATCTGATTTGACAGTACACTCACACAAAAATAATAATTTTTAAAAAATGTGGGGGGAATAAAAAAACACAGAAAAAATCAGTTCTTCAATCCAGAAAAATGCTAATGCTAAAATCTGTCAAATACCAGCAAATTAAGGCACTCTTGTAGAGGGATGAAACCTGAAGCAATGCAGCCTTTTTTTTTTTTTTTTTTAGGAAAAAAATTAAGTGTTTTAGTCAAAGTGCTACTTCAATCATTAAATTAGTTGCATGTGGTGGGCACTGGTGTGGGTAGAGAAGAGTGCATTTTCTAAACATACTGTAACTAATATGGTGTTTTGTGGCACTTGATATGTATGTATGTGTATAATACATCCATATATGCATTACACATACAGGGATATATGCACAAAATACATGGTGCATACACTGGATTTGATGTCATCTGTTACTGGGTGCACTCTTCAAACACCCAAGCAATACTAATGACCCTGTCGTTACAGATGCTGGCAAGTCAATTTTGACTTCAGGATCCTTATTTTGGCTTTTTCTTCCCATTTCCATTCCCCACCCGGGCTCCCAGTTGCTGTTAAGCCTACCCGCTGCAGTCAGATGGTTCCAGAGGCTGGAAGCTCATAGGAGGAGAAGGCTCGTTTTCTCCTGTCGACTTACTAATAAATCTGAATCAGGCTTTTGGTTGGCAGCTCCCAATTTAAGACACTCTTTTAACCCTAACACACGCACACAGGCTAAATCAACCGCTGTGTAGTCAGTTCCCACTACATGACCCTCTAGACAAGGGCTGTTCATAGGGATCCCAAGGCTGTAAATCTCTCATCCAGCAGCTAACAGATTTGACTTTTTGATTTGCCTAACACTGTGTGGTGTCACCAAGGCTCCTGTAAGTAATCCCAAGAGGCACTAATTCTAGGGCAGTGACTTTCAAGTAGGAAAGAAATCGAAAATCAGTGCAGATGAGCAGGCGTTGAACAAAGCCAGTTACAAACCAGCCCTTTCATACACCTTAGTTCACACTCACAGCCCCTAAGTACACTCACCATGGCCACAATTGGTCCTGAGTTCATGTACTTCACCAGCCCCGGGAAGAATGGGCGGTCTTTCAGGTCAATGTAGTGCTGCTTCAGATGCTCCTCGGAGGCCTGGCATTAAAGAGGCGAAAAGCAAAACCAGTAGTGCTGGAAGGAAGCTGCTGAAGCAGCAGTGGGCACCCCGGCAGTGACGTCACCAAGCCCCTCCCCCTGGGAAGACACCCAGCATGGAGCTTGGACCTGGTGTGTCAACTCACGTTATTTGGTATGATGTGTATTTTGGGGGGTCTGGGCGCAGGTCGAGGAGGGGAAATGTCTATGTTGTTTCATAGGCACACCTGGTTAATCTACACATAAAGGCAGATCAAATCAGACACGCCCTTTTCAACTAATACTCCATATGGTAATTCGCACATTGGTCTCTTCGGAGCTGAGCCCAGTTATAATTACAGGAAGTTGATACTGTAGGGTCTGGCGGCTTAGTGGTTAAGGAGCTGCAATGGCACGTGGTTAGGAAATGCACCAGTTGCTCCGCGGGAGAAAGATGGGCTATCAACTCTGGTGCAATTTACTGCCTCTGAAAACCTCTTGGAGGGTCAGCTCTGTGTCAGTTCCGGCTCAATGGTACACAACAACAACAAATGGAGAGTCCAGATCCGTGACTCAAATTTAAAGTGGAAAATAAGACTGCCCTCCACCGGAGGGTGGGATGCTGTTGGGCAAGGGAAGAGCGAGACACCCTACCTTAAACTCAATCATCTCCAAGGTTCAGACTAAAGCACGAAAGGATTTCAATCTCAACCCTGCGCACATTTTGAGCCACATGGAGCAAGGGGGGGGGGGGGGTCTGCAGCCCAGGCTTGCTTCTATCCCCGCTGCCCCCTGAGAGTGGCAGGAGACCGGGCCACACTTGCACGCTGCTGGGCTCGGGACCCAGGAGTCACGTTACCTCTTTATAACCTTCCCAAGGGCGTCTGTCACCCTGAAGCAAAGGCAAAGGCCTGGGAAAAGGCAGTTCCACCCCTAGGGAGCCCTGCGGGGCCAGCACCAGCGAAAGGAGTCCCACCGGGGCCACATTAGCAAAGGGAACGGCGGCTCCAAAGGGAAGTGTGGACACAGCGTGGCCCGGGAGATAAAAATCCCCCGGACGCGGCTGCCGAGAGCGGGGAGAAAGGGTCGGTACCTGAAGGAGCTTCATGGCCACAAGGCGGAATCCTTTCTGCTCAAAGCGCTTGATGATCTCGCCCACCAGGCCGCGCTGCACGCCGTCCGGCTTGATGGCGATGAAGGTGCGCTCACTGTTGGCCATGGTGCTGCGAGCGAGAGGGCTTGTCAGGGCCCCGCCGGCACAGGCCGGTCCCGATCCGAACTCGCGGCTCCAGATCCCGGGCCTGGGCCCAGACCAGAGGTCCCGGGTCCCAGGTTCCGCGCTGAGAGCCCACGTGGGCGCCCTCCTCCGGCCTCGCCCGGGCCCTCCCTCCACCCGCCGCTGGGGACACGTGGCTTCCCGGCCGCTTCCGCCAGGCTCAGTCCAGAGGCCCGGCCAGGAGGCCACCGCCGTGCGCAGATGCAGCGAAGCGCAGAGGGCACGCGGCGGGAGTCCCGGGGAGCGCAGCAAGGGGTAGGGCGCCCCCCGGCTCGAACGTGGCGCCTGGGCCGCGAGGGGGGCGCAGGCAGCCGGTGGCACAAGCCGCCAGGGGGCCCGAGATCGGAAGAAGCAAGTGCCGGGGCCTCCTTACCTGGACGCCGGAGGAGGAGCAGGCGTAGTGCGAGTTGTGAGCAGGAGAAGAATCGGATAGTGACCACCCGGCCCGGAGCAGTGCTCGGAGGAGGGACGCGGGGCGGAGCGCGGGGCGGCCACACCCCGAGCGCCCTCCGCCCAACCCGCGGGATCTGGACGCGGCCGCGCAACACTGCCAGCGCTGCGGCCTTCCTGTGCCCGCCTTCGGCTCCCCGGCAAGTTTTCAGGGACAGGAAAAGGCTTGTCCTCCACTGAAGATGTCCTGCATCTGAAGTCAAACTTGTCATCTTTTCATTACCCTTGTCATCCCATAGACACAGAGACAGTTATGCAGGGAAAAACTGCTCCTGGCCTTGAGTTTTTTTACCTGGGCCAACGCCATCTGTGTCCACTGTCCATTCGAGCACCTAGAATAGAACTTGACTTTCACTACACCACTGGCGACTTTCTTACCTACCTCTGAAATCCAGCCTTTCCATACCATCCCTTCTGCTTGAGACCTGGTTCACACTAGCCTCTCATCCACTTGTTTGAAGGGGCAGATTCCCAAGGACCCGGAACCAGTCCCCTTCCCACCTATAGCTTCCCTGAATCCCTCAACGTCGCCCCAATCCTGCTGCCCCTACTTGGAAAGCCTTTGCCAAGCTCTTCACACAGTGTGCCCTGTACCCGCCCTGCCTGTCTCCCACGTATTTTACCAACCCCAACTTTGCCGCCCCATTTTCACTTGAAATTTCACAGCACCATTGTGTGATCAATTTATCTAATGAAACTGAGACACTTAACTTACCCTTTGTATGTGTCTTTGAAGAACGCCTCCAATCTCCTGGGAAGCAGGTCCACCATCTTTTTACAGCCAGTCCCTATCTTCTCTGGATGTGAAAATGCCCCACTCACTTTTAGGGCCAATTATTCCAAGTGTAAGCAGCCCTGGTGGTGCACTGGTCAAGTTATCCAAGCTACTAACTAAAAAGTTGTTAAGTGTACCCATTGTCACCCACTGGAGGATCGACAATTTGTTCTAGCAAAGTATTGTTGTTAGGTGCTGTCAAGTCAAGACAGATTCATAGCAACTCTATGAACAACAAATTTGAACTCTGGCCTCACCATCCTCAGCTGTGACATCTTCATCATCTCTGATAAACTTGAGCCCCATTGCAGCAGTCACCACATCAATCCACCCCATTGGGGGGGTCTTCCTCTCTTTCGCTAACCCTCCACCTTTCCAAACATCATATCCCTAAGGAATAGTGTCTTCTAGCAACATGTCCACAGTATGTGAGATGAAGCTTTGTCATCCTTGCCTCCAAAATCCCTAAGGAATAGTGTCTTCTAGCAACATGTCCACAGTATGTGAGATGAAGCTTTGTCATCCTTGCCTCCAAGGAGCTCTCTGGTTGCACCTTTTCCAAGACATTTGCTCATTCTTTTGGTGGTCCATGGATCTTCAATATGCTTCTCCAACAAAAGTCAAAAGCACTGATTCTTCTGTCATCCTTATTCATTGTCCAGCTCTCAGCTGCATAGCAAGTGACTGAAAAAAAAAACATGGCCTGAATCAGATGTATGCACCCTAGTCTTCCAACTGACATCATTGCTCTTCAGAATGAGAGGTCCTGGGCAGCAGCCTTACCCAAATGCCTTATCTCTATGATTACAACATTAGAAATCCAATGGGAATGTCCTACTCTGTCACAGTTTGATGGCAACAGTTCAAGTGTGGCATCCTCTGTGAAAACCTGCCTGGCTTCCCTGAGGGGTGAGCAAGTCCCTCTGTCAACTTACCAGGCACTAACACTGTGTGGCCTTGTGTCTTGCTCTGAGATCGTTTGTGCTCTTGTGTATCTTCACCTCAAGGCTATGAGCTGGCTACATCCTGTGCAATCACTGTTGTGTCCTTAGCACTGCCCTGACACACTTTGACTGTCTGATGAGAGGAGAACCCAGGCCTCTATTACACCCATTGCCTTTCCCGAAATCAAACTGCAGGGGCATTAGGCAACAGTGCATTGGAAAAGAGACCATTCAAATATCTTCAAGCTGGAGCAGGGACACCCAGTGCCTCCTCTGGTCTCAATCTGAAGCTGACTCTCATTTGGGTTCCTTTTCTGGGTTTATCAAATGGCAACATGGGAAATGTGCTGAGAACTTCCTATTTCTTTTAAGAGCTGTATGCTCCTTATTCAAGTCATTGTACCTACTTGAGAGTACAGTCAGTGCCAGCTCTCAGGTTTTTGCCTTGTCTCTCCTTCCCAGAAAAACTGACTTCATCTAGAGTGGGTATAACCCGCGTATCTCACTATACACACATTCATTCCCCACCAATCCTGGTACTCAAAATGCCTTAGCCACTGCAAAGAAAAGAAGGTAGCCAACCCTCCATCCCTGAGAAATGCCTACCCTTTTATTGCCTCTGGTGGCAAAGTCCATAGTTAGCTGTGCTGCCAGCCACAAGGCCAAGCCTCTCTGGCGTCTACCAGCTGCCCCTTGAGAGAAAGATGAGCCACCTCCTCTCATACACTTTACAGCCTCAGAAACCCCTGGAGGCTCACCTATGAGTAGATTCACAGTCCACATCAATGACTTTTGACTTACAGCCTTTAAATATTAACAGAAAACCAACCAGCAAAAACAAAACACTAAGCTCACAGCCAAGAATTTATTCCAACTCACTATCACCCCATAGAGTAGAGAACTGCTTCTTTATTATGTGCTGTCAAGTCGCCTGCAACTCATAACAACCCTGTGTACAATGGCTCTGAGGTCTGCCCTGTCCTGAGGCAGAGTCCCTGACTCCAACACACCTATCCCTGTTACCCCAGTTACTGTATCAGTCCATCTCATCTGGGGTCTTCCTCTCCTGAGCTGTCCCTCATCCTTCTGAGCATGATGTCCATCTCCAAGGATAAGTCCCCTCCTGGCCACATGCCCAAAGTCTGTGAGATGGAGCTCTAAAACCGTAGCCTCCAATGAGAAACTTGATTTCACCCTCTCTGGAACAGACATATTTGTTTTCTTGGTTTCCAGAACGCTTGTATAGACTGTAGGGAGTTAGGCAACCCAAAGGCCACACCCACCTGCTGCTCCAGGGGCCTGAGTGGAATTTACAGGAGTCTGGGAAACCCAGTGGTCAAGCTGAGTCTGTTTTGAGTCAACAGCAATGAGTTTGAGTGGTTTTTTAATCTCCATAGAAGCAGACTGTCACATTTCTCCTGTGGAATGGCCAGTGGGATCAAACTGCCAACCTTTCCATTAACCGCTGAGTGCTTCACCCCTGCAACACCACGACTCCTCTATCGCCTCTACCTAGTTTTGAAGCCAGTTGCCCTGCCAACCCAAACATATGTGGTTTGAGTCCACAAGCTGCTCTGTGGGAGGAAGACAGGAAATGTCCACCTGAGCATTTTACAGCCTCTTCTGATGTCAGTTCTACTCAACAGCTCTGGTGGCTCCCAACAGCTCTGAAGGAGTAAATGGAAAGCACCAGGAGGAGACCAAGCAAAAGCTTACTGCAGGGATCCACAGCTCCACCCCAGCATCTTTATTTCCTCCTTTCTCACAGTAGAACCTGAGTTTGATCTGTGCACAGGGCTGCCCAGCGGAAGAGAACATTTCTCTACTTTTTCTTGTAACTAAGTGACCAAGTTTTGATCAATGGATGTGAAGGGGGATGAATGTTGTAAATTCGGGGCTACAACTTAAAAGATACTCCTTCAACTTCCCTTCCCAGTTTGCTGGGAGGCTGCCAAAGGGTGGAAATCCCAAATAGCACTGATTAGAAGAAGAAACCACATGAATCAGCATCTTACTGCCACCCTCTCCAACCCCACCCATCTCCAGCCTGCACTGAAAGAGAAGTAAAATCCAATCTTATCTGTATTAAAAGAGCCAAATCAATTCAAAAACAAACCAAAGACAGATATAAGATTCCTTCTGCTGTTTTTGAGGTCATCCCAAGAATCTAGACTTACTGTCCACATAGCTTTTTTGATTTGGGGGGGAGGGAGTTAGTTACAACTTCTCACACTGCTCCACCAACTTGAGCCCCTGACACACTCTAGTGAAGTTTTTTTTTTATTTCCAAAAACTCTTCTGTACCCAGCAGTCTTGCCAACCCAGATCCTAAATAGATACCTGCTCACTGCCAGGAGTGAAGAGAATTGGGGTTTGCAGGGAAGGGAATTCCGACTGGAACACTGTATTGTAACCATCAGGCTGCAGCAGATCACTTCTGGGTTCTTTGCACACTCTCTCCCCTCAGGTTTGGAGCCCTGATGGTATAGTCTGGAAAGAGCTGTGCTGCTACCCCAATGCCTGGATCTCTGACATTTGAAACCCACCATCAGCAACTCGGGAAAAATTTGAGGAATCTCCTCTTACATGACTTACAGCCTTGGAAACCCAATGAAGAGGCAGCTATGAGCTTGATAACAATTATGACAATGAGTGAGTGATAAGAGAATTCATGAAAATGCGAGAAAGAATACAAAGTGACAATCAATGAGTTGGGATAAAAGATTTTAATGTGACGGCAGCACATTAACACTGTACAAGGAACATTCACAGCTTCACGAGTTACTCTCCAGATTACGAGGAAGTCCCCAGAAATAACTGGGTTTGCTACGGCCCTGTCCCCTGCCTGTGGCCTGGCGGGAAGTGGAATGGGAACAGTTCTGTGGTCAGCTCACAGATCCAGCAGCATCACTCATAGATCCAGTCCTGAGCACAGCTCTTGTAATTCACCAGTTCCTCAGGGCGAAACCACAAGCCAATCTCCTTCTCCGCACTTTCCACAGAATCGCTGCCATGAATGATGTTTCTGGTGGGGAAAGAGATTGCCACGTTATCAAGAATGGAAGGATGAAACTGCCCAGCACCTGCCCTCCCCTTGCACTGTGGGCAGGAAAGCGAGACTCCAACTTGTGTGTCAAAGTAGAACCATGGTTCCCCAAGGAGTTTTCTGTCTTAAAAGCTTTTTTTTTTAAAAAAATCATTTTATTGTGACTGCAATGAAAGCTTACAGAGCAAATTAGTTTTCATTTCCATATGTTTTCAATGGCTGAGTTTTAGTTTCTGAGAAGTAGACTGCCAGCAGGTGGCCTAGTTTTAACGTGCTGGAATGCTAGTCCAAAAGGTCAGCAGTTTGAATCCACCCACAGCTCCGAGAGAAAATGGACAGTATCCCGCCTTAAAGATTTATAGCTTCAGAAACCCAGTAAAGGGCTGCTCTGAGTTTGGGCCTCCTGGTTGGTGCTGGGTTTGGTTGAGGTTTCTTCTGTGGCACCTCTGGATGGGCATGGTCCTCCTCCAACCTTTCAGCTAGCTCACCTGTACATGCCACCCAAGGGCTCCCCTCTATGTTCAACCAAAAGCTCCTAGTCAATGCCGTCGAAGTGGACTGACTCATAGCTGACCCTCCAGCCAGTTTTCAGAGGCTGTAAATCGCAGGAGAAAAGACAGCTCATCTTTCTCCATAAAGCAGGTGGTGGATCCAAATCGCCAGAGAGACACCACGTCTAGGTGGCACACAATTCCCAACACGATATGCCATCAGAGCTCCCAATACAAACTGTTGTTGTTATGTGCCATCAAGCCGGAACCCACTCACAGCTGACCCTCCAGTGGGCTTTCAGAGGCAGTTTAATGACACAACGGGAGACTACCCATCCTTCTCCCGTAGAGGAGCAGGTAGATTCGAACCTCGTGCCTTTGTGATTGCAGACAATGTCCAAAGAAAAAACCCATACACTGCTATTAATGTAAGGATGAAAAACTTCCTTTCTGTCCGAGACACACTGACATGGATAATGAGAGCCTTCTGGAAGGACTCTGGCCAGCAAACTCCACTGTATCAGCTTCTACAATCTCAACAGAAACACAGCCACAGTGATGCTGAGGCTGAAGACCAAAGCCTCAAGGTCTTGAAACCAAATACCCAGTTAAGTAGAGAACAGTGAACTCTAAATAGAAATCAGATCAAAGTTCAGAAGGCAAGAAGAGGTAAGAGAGGATGAGTGGATGAGTGATTTCACATTGTAGGGACTGCAACCAATGGCATGAAACAAATGTACGAATTCTTGAACAGTAAATCGATTTGCTCCATAAATTTTAACTCAACTAACAATAAAAGTTAAAAAGAAATAATAAACAAGAAAATAAACATTGATCTGCATACAATACAGAGCAGCGGGACAGACATATGCATACCTGTTCACAAACACTAATAAATGGAGACAAAACTCAAGTGGCCATTAGTAGAAGAAAGGCTAAATAAACTATGGTATGCACATCCAGTGGAATGCTACACAGCTATAAAGACAATGAAGAATTCACAAAACATAACATAGATGAATGTGGAGAGTATTATTATTATTAGTTAATTAAGTCAATCACAAAAAGACAAATTTTGTATATTGCACTATTATAAAAAATCAAGAGGAGAGGAGATACCACACAGAAGGCAAAATTCATTGATGGTTTATGAGGAACAGTAGGAAAGAAAGGGCCAAGGAATCAAGTTCTAGGGAGTAAACACTTAATACTTTGGTGGTGAGACTGGCAGTAATTCCAAATAAAGGTGACATCAGCACAACTTGACCAAGTAAAAATAAAGACATTAAGAACGATACAAGAGAAAGAAGTAATCTCACTAAGTAGTACCACATAAACAATTTTCTGGAAGCGGGAGTGGCATCCACTTCCTAAACAACATGTTTCCAGAAACTCATCAGACCTTTTGTTCATAGGGTCTCTATGAGTTGTGCTCGACTCGAAAGCAGTCAACAACAACAACAGACAATTTTACAACCTCAGTGAAAACTACCAAAAGTATGTGTATAGTTACAAGGATAATATGGATGCATATATGTGTACGACAAGGCATTCGGGAGTCTCAGCATGTGCAGATACATGTCTGTGAGGCATGTATCTCCACATACATAACACAGTGCACAGGAGACTCCTAGACACATCCCAACAACTCCTGGCACTGGCTTACGAGATCAGAAAGCTTGGTCCTAAAATCTTAGGGACAACCTAGTCAACCAGCCTAATACAGTTCACAAAGTAATGCTTTGCACCCTCAGACTAGTGTCTGAGGTCCTAAGAGCTTGTGAGCAGCCATCTAAGATCTACTGGTTTCTGTTGATATGGCTCAAAAGAGAATGAAGAAAAACAAAGGCTCAAAGAACAATCTAGTCCATGGGACCCACAGCCCACATGACGCAGAGCCTCTTCAAATCTGCGGCCGGAAGAACTAGATGCTCCCACTGTGACCATTCTGACCAGAGACACAAGAGAAAATCCCTGAAACAGCAGGGGGGGAAAAAACCCTCTAAAAATGCCCAGACCTACTGACGGGATAAAAACTACAGGGACCCCTGAGACTTATCATCTCTTGAGCTTGGAACTGTAGCCATTTCTGCAGGTCGTGTCTCAGTCAAATAACAGGGAAGCTTACAAAACAAAACAATTATCTCCCATGAGTCAAATGCCTCCTTGAACAACTAACTGTATGATTAATGGTGACCTAAAAACAAAGATGAGAAGGCAAGAAGAATCAGAAGAATGGAAATTAGAACAAATGGAATGGAAATTAGGAGAATGATGATATACTGCAAAGTTATAAGCAATGGCACAAAGCATGTATAAATTGTTAACATAATTTGCTATGTAAACATTTTCCTATAATAAAATATTATTTAAAAATTAAAAAGCAGCCTGTATAGTGCCTCACATGTACCCCCAGCATCAGAAACCCAAATTCTGACCACTCACTTGGATGCTGGTAAAATGTACTATGCACTCACCTGCCAACTTGAATGCAAAAGTCCCCTCGAATAGTCCCAGGTTTGGAGTCCGCAGGGTTAGTCTCCCCAAGCATCACGCGGCCCGTCTTTACCACATTCAGCCCCTCCCAGACCTTCAAGAACAGAAGGTGTAGTCAAGTAAACAAGTCACGGCAGAAAACCAGGAAAACAACCAAGTCAGAAAAAGAAACAGCCCAATTAAGGCACTCTTCGTTATTAAGTAACTATTTTTCTGAGCGCCTACATATTGCACCACTTGGAATACTGGTCTCCTTGTCATCACTTTTGTCTTATCTGGCACAGTACCCAAAATGACTTTTTAAAATGTCAAGTGTAAAACCTTCCATGAACCTCTCTCAAGGCTTCCCAGCACCCTTGAATACTTGAAGACTCATGATCCCGCCCTGCCAACAACCCTGAACTTCTCACTTCGCACCTTCTCATTAGCAGAGTAGCAGGCATTGAATATACCTCCAGAGTTCTTTTATCACAAAGCACTAGATGATACACAGACTTTGTCACTCACTCATTATCTGCTTACCCTCACCATGTCCTGAAGAAGTGTATGCAACAAAAGCAGACTCCAGTTTTGTCTCCTTCATGATTACCTCCCCAGTGTGGAGAGGAGAGCCTAGCATGAAGGTGAAATCCAGAACACAGCTGGTGAAGAAGGACTGCAATAAACAGGAGGCATCCTGCTGCCCTCCATGAGCTCACAGGCAGGCCTCTCCTGCCCTCTCTCAGCCATGGGTGGCCAGTTCAGAAAGCACAGAAACCTCGTCTCTGGTGTGCAGAGAAGCCATCTCACATCCTACCTAATATCCTAGACCCAGTTTGTGTGCATCAATGAAGGCCTTGCATTATAGGTAAATATCTCTGGAAAAGTAAGGAATCATATTCTCTCCTCCCAAACGAGCCATCCTTATCAGTATCCCACATACACACTCACCATGGCAACGACCGGCCCTGAGTGCATGTACTTCACCAAGCCAGCATAGAACGGGCGGTCCTTCAGGTCGATGTAGTGCTCCTTGAGAAGGTCTTCAGATGCCTATACCAGAGCAGAGAATGAGAACCGTGCCCCTAAAATATTATAAAGCAAACCCGCAATCTCATTAACTCCCATTGCCTATTCTGCCCTAAAGACTATGAGCTCTCAGCTTGCTGATCCTGTTAGAACTCAATTCATTCTTGACCACTGACCCAGGAGCAGAGAATAAAAGTGCTTCTTCAATGTTGTACCAATTCTCCCCCTACTGGCCTTGACTTGATCAGAACAAAGCCACAGAACACGGGGACTGAAACCAATCACCTCCTTTTACATATAGAGAAATTTACACAATGAAGTTGCAGTCCTGGGACACTCTGGAGTAAGATGTCAGCCCTGGCATCTCATTAGGAATAAACAATGCCAACTGCCAAGAAGCTTTATATCTATTTAGAGGAGAAAGGTCTAAAATAGTGACAAAGCGATTCTCACCGGTATCTGCATGCCACCCAAAACTACATGACATCTAAAAGATCATTGCCATTGCATTGGAACCTACTCAAAGCTGACCCTCCAGTGGGTTTTCAAAAAATGTAAATTACAGGCGAATGCCCATCTGTCTCCTATGGAGCAGCCGATGGATTCAAACCTCGTGTCTTTGGGTTGGCAGTGCACTCCTTGTCAACTAGGCCACCAGAGCTTCCTACATGATGTCTAGAAATAAATGACTTGGCTGCTGCATGATTAAGTATCTCTCATACTTCAAGGCTGGCACGTGGAACAGTTCAAGTCAGCTAGAGAACAAACCATCTGCTTAGAAATTCAGCTCCACTTGGCTGGACTCTCCCTTTGACACTGTACAGACTCTTGTAAGGAGCTCCCACTTCTTCCTTAGTTTTTCCAGTTCAGAAATGCACTAGATGAGGCCTCCTGCACACTTCACTGATACATACAAATATGGAGATTTGCTTCCAAAAAAGTCCAGAACATTCAGCTCATCTCATGGAAAGTCAAAATTTACAGACTTCTGACCATTGCACGGTCACAATGTTCCTTCAGCCCACCCTTCACCTGTTAACAGTGGCGGTCTCCTAACACCACGGACTGGACTTCATCTTCCCTTACGAGAATAACTCTTTCATTCTCTTAGTTGGTTCCAGTCGTTTCCCCTCTGTAATCACAGGATGTTCTGTTTGTTTTTCGGGAAGGACAGAGTGAAGGGGAGACTCAAGCGTCCCCCAGCCTCTCTCCTCCACATCAGATTTAAATAATCCTTTGGACTCAGGATGGCTTCCCTCTTCTCCTTCCTCTCATTCTTTATCAAACCCATGCCCTTGATAAGCAGCACTGTGTAAAGAAGAAAAGGAGCCAGCCACATTCCTGAATATGCTACCAGGCACTTAACCTTGAAAAGCTTCAAATTCCTCATCATGCACAACCAGAGGAAGAGAAAAAAGCCTTCCTCTCAGGTTGTCAGCAGTGTTTAAAAAGATATTTGTGAGCAAGCCTCTGGCCAAAATTGTGCCCAAAACAGTAAAGGTCTTAATTAACAACACTTGCAGTTCACCTTCAAAACCTGATTTTATATGCAAAGCCTCTGGAGAGTATTTTTTTTTATGGTTTGAATAAAACCATTCTGCTCTCCTCTCAGCAGTAACATCCATTCATTCACTTTTATCTCAAAGCAATTTTTCTAAACCACCACACAGGAAAGAAATTGCAAATTAAACAGAATTTAAAATGTGCAAGGAGGTGCCAAAGGTGATTCCTCCAAGGGAAAAAGACTGCCCCCTCATTTATTTGCATTGAGAGATTGAACTGTCATCTCATATTTGTTTGAAGAAGGATTCTTGGCCAGCTACTCCTCTGCATGTATTAAAATGCTGCTTTGCAGGTGTCAGGAAGGTGTATCTATTGTCTTTTTCAAGTGAGTCTCCCTAAGGGCATAACCCCTCGCAGGCCCCATCCTAGACACCCGATCACTGACGATCACTGACGGAGATAATTCCTTGCTGAAAACAAGATGGAGGATTTCTCCAAAACTATTTGCTCAGGAAGGTGGAGGCCAGTTCACACTCGCCCAGCACCAAGTCAAACATTACGGTGCTGCAGTCAGTAGTGCCACCCTGGGCTGCCAAGTGAAAGGAGAGACTATTTTTTAAAGTCCTAAATAACAAGGTTTGTTCCAAGATTTGGACATGATGTGGGACCACTGAGCAGTTTAAGGATGTGTGCGCCCACACCACCATCTTTCCTCATTTCACTTATTGCCATCAAGTCAGAAGTGGCTCATAGCTGAAACTCCAGCAGATTTTCAGAGGCTGTAAATCGTCCAAGAGGAGGCTGCACATCTTTCTCCCGTGGAGCTGGTGAATTCAAACCACCAGCCTCTGAGTTAGCAGTGTAACTCCTTACCTCCGAGGCCACCAGAGCACCACATTACCATGGAAAAGTTTGAAAGGGCAGGGAGAAGAGAAACAGAGAACGCAACCCACTCTTCCTCTATCCTACCAAGCAATCAAATATGAAGAGTGAAGTCCACTTACTTGTATGAATTTCAAAGCGACGAGGCGGAATCCCTTCTGCTCAAAACGCTTGATGATATCTCCCACGAGGCCCCGCTGGACTCCATCAGGCTTGATGGCGATGAAGGTGCGCTCGCTGTTGGCCATGGTCCTGCAGATAAGCAGGTGGATGAATGAGCTGGCAGGGAATATCCGACCTACATCATTATCCTTCTCAAGAGGATTACCGCCTAAAGCTGGTTTTAATCAGTCATGTCAACTCCAAAGCTCTGGCAAGATCTCCATCCCCCCACCCTTCATGTATGAACTAATACACCAAAGTGATGGAAGGTCTGAAAACAGGGACTGTCATTTCTATTCCCTCTGACTCAGTAAGCTTTTATTATGCATCTATTGTGTGTCCAGTAATAATGCCAAATGATGGCTGTTGTTACTAGGTCTTCTACTCTCCTAACATGTCCAAAGTATGTCTCGCCATCCTGCCTCTAAGGAGCACTCTGACTGCACCTTTCCCAGGACATAGCTGTTTTGTTCTTTTAGCAGTCCATAGGATAGATACTTAGTACTCTTCTCCAGTACTAAAACCCAAAGGCATTGATTCCTCTTCTGTCTGTCATCCTTATTCACTATCCAACTCTCAGAAGCATAACAATTGAAAAGCTCAGGGCTTGAATTAGGTGCACTTTAGTCTTCAAACTGACATCACTGCTCCTCTACTTTGAAGAGTTCCTTCACAGCAGATTTTTCCAAGGCAAGTATGTCTTTTGATTTCTTGACCATGGGTGCCAAGGGTGTTGACTGTGGATCTAAGCAAGATGAAATTGTTGACAATGTCAATCTTTTCTCGATCAATAAAGATGTTGCTTATCAAACCAGTGGTGAGGATATTTGTCTTCTTGATATTGAGAAGTAATCCATATTGAATACCACAGTCTTTGATCTTCTGCAGCAAACACTTCACGCTCTCCTCACTTTCAGCAAGTAAGGCTGTGTCATCTGTATAATACGGGATGTTGATCAGTCTTCCTCCTATCCTGATGCCACATTCTTTTTCAGAGTCCATCTACTCAAATTATTTGCTCAGCATACAGATTGCATAACCATGGAAAAAGAATATAGTCCTGACGCACATCTTTCTTGATTTTAAGCCAGGCACTGTTTCCTTTCTCTGTTCAGACAACAGCTTCTTTGTCTAGGTATAGGTTTCGTATGAGCATGATTAGATGTTACATTCTTCTCAATGTTAACTATAGTTTGTTATGATCCAAACAGTCAAATGTCTTTGCTAGTCAATAAAACACAATTAGACATTCTTCTGGTATCCTTTGCTTTCTGTCAATATCACAGGCTGTGGAAAATCATTCAAAAATGGCTAGAACTGGACACTGACAGAGAACTGGAGAAGTTCAAGCTGGATTTAGCAGAGGCATGGAACTCGAGCACTAGAATGCTAAGATGTCAAAACAGAGGGAGCTCAGGTGGTCTAGTGACAAGAAGCTGCACTGTAATCCCAGAGATATGTGGTTCGACCCCACCCGATGCTCTGCTGGAAAAGGAGGTGCAATCTCCTCCTGTCCCAGTCAGATCTGATTTGTCGGTACACACAAAAAATAAAAAAAATAAATAAAAAGAACTCAAAACAAGGGGAATATATGCCAAAGTGAAAGAGATGAACAGAAGATTTCAAAAGGCAGCTCAAGAAGACATTGCAAAGTATCAGAATGTGCAAAGAGCTGGAGTCAGAGCATAAAAAGGGAAGAAATCACTAGACATTTCTCACACTGAGAGAACTGAAAAATTCAACAGTGGAGTTGCAACAATGAGAGATACTATGGGCAAAATCTTGAACAATCTGGGAAGCATCAAAAGATAGAGGGAAGAAAAATAAAACAAACAAAAAGGAGATGGAGCAAATACACAGAAGTCACTGTACCAAAAAGAACTTTGTGTCAACACTGGTCTAATATTTCAGGAAGTAGCATATGATCAAGAGCCAACGGTAATGAAGGAATTCTTCAAGCTACACTAAAGGCATTGGCAAAAAATCAGGCCCCAGGAATCGGTGGGTTAAGACACACTAGGAAGGACTTGCCAGCCACTTCTGAACTAACAGGCCTTCGAAAACCCTACAAACAATAGAGCACAGTTACACAGTTAGACAGTCAGATATAGCTATTGTAGGCAGTAGCCTCAGACAGGAAGACACTTAAAATGAGGAGGAACAGCTGTAGATATCTACTAATAATCAGAACACAGAATGCACAAAGCATGAATATATGAAAATTGGACATTGTCAAGTATGAAACAGAACACATAAAGATTAATATACTAGGCACTGGCGAGGTGAGGTAGTCTACCATTGGCCATTCTGAATCAAACATATGATTCTAGGAATGAAAAACTCAGAAAGAATGCCATTGTGTTCATAGTTTAAATGGCCATTTCAAGATCTACCCTTAAGTACAATGCTGTGAGCGTCAGGATACTACCCATGTGCATGCAAGGAAGACCTGCTGGTAGCACCATTTCTCAGGAATAAGCACCAATAGCTAAAGCCAAAACAGAAGCAGCTGAGGATTTCTAGCAACTTCTTTTTTTTTTTTTTGGATTTCTAGCAACTTCTGCTGTCTGAAGTTGACCAAAAATGCAATCAAGATGCATTAATAATAACCGGTGACTAGAATGCAAAAGTTGGAAACAATGAAGAAGGAATGGCAGTTGGTAAATACGAACTTATTGACAGAAATGAGGCTAGAGAATGAATGACTGAATTTTGATCACTCAGTGATTTAGTCATCACAAAAATGTTTTAAAAGAAACACAAAGGGCACCTAACTCTACACATGGACCTCACTTGATGGTCTGCACAGGAATTAGACTGACTACATCTGTGCAAAGAATTGTTGGAGAAGCTCAGTATCAGCAGTCAAAACCAGACCAAGTGCTGACTGTGGAACAGACATCGTCTAAACTGAAGTTAAAGGAGATTAAAGCAAGTCCATTAGAACCAAAATGCACCTTTAGTCTATCCCACTTGAATTTAAAAACCATCTCAAGGATAAGTTTGAGGCATTGAACACTAATAATCAAAGATCAGATGAGTTGTGGGAAGACATCAAGAATATTATCCATGGGGGGAGGGTGGAAGCTGAGGGATGAGGATGTGCAGGGGGAGGTGGGGATGAATCATGAGGTTGTACAATTTGGTGGGTGGGAGGGCGAGGGAAATTTTAAGAATCTGTTTTGGAAAACAACGTACTCAAATTTTGTAAATAAACTAGTATAATAAGAAAAAAAATATTAACTATAGGAGCTCTGGTGGCCTATGAGCAAGAAACTGCACAGCAATCCTGAAGGCACAAGGTTTGAATCTACCAGATGCTCTGCTGGAGAAGGAGGCACAATCTCTTCCTGTACTAGTCAGATCCAATTTGATGGTACATAACAAGAAAAAGAAAATTATCCATGAAGAGAGTAAAAGGTCATTGCACAGACAGAAAAGAAAGACCAATATGGATGTCAGAAGAGACTATGAAAATTGTACTCTATGCAACAATGAATGAAAACCCAAAATCTCTGTAAATGTTCATTAAAACTAATAAAATTTAATTTAAAAAAAAAGAAAATTGTAAAAATAAGGCATCACCTTTCTCAGTAATAATCCAGTTAGAGAAAATGACAATATAAAAATGATGTCTGTCATCAATAAAGTATCCGTGAGTATTTTTATCCTTTGACACTCTCAAAAAAAAAAAAAATGATGTCTGATACAAACCTTTGCAAAATAAGATTTGACCTCCCACCACAGTTACAGTACTAGAACTGCATGAGACTTTAAAGATTCTTTTATTACAACTCTTTTCTTTTACAAATGGGAAAACAAATGCATAGTACCAGAGTCAGGGCCAGAATCCAGATTTCCCAGCTTTAGCCTGATTCAATTTGTGCTACACCTTAAAATGCAATGGTGCCTATACAATTTGAAAAAAAAAACCCTCTCTGGAACTGTAATAGTATAAATAATGGCCTCCAAAGTTAGCAGGTGGTAACTCCTGGAACCAACCATACATGGAAATACTAGTTTTTAAGGAAAGGGGTCATCAAATATGGTTAGAGCCCATGACATTGGAAATAAACCTGGATTCTCCCCAAACTAACAAACGAGGCAACAGACATTATGACTAATAAAGAATAGACTGTGGGAGCTAACACTAGGATCTCACAGCTAATCCCAGTATCTGATATAGGACTGTCATTTCATAGATCACACTGAAATGAAGCTTAGAAAGCATCTACTTCAGACCTTTTAAAGAAAAGAAAATTGGACCCTGTCTCAACAGAATGGAGGCAGTCCCTCATTTTGGAAGATAATCCTTATTGTAGATGTTGTTGTTATATGCTTGCAACTCACACACTCATAGCGACCCTCAGAAGCCTGCCCTGTACTGAGCCAGTCTCACTGATTCTGACATACCCATCTCTACTTACACCAGCCCCAGTTATCGTATCTTCTCATCCAGGCATTGTCCCTCCACCTCTAGCAGTACCATTTCCTAGCTTTGTTGTTACTATGTGCCTCTGAGTAGACTATGACTTGTAGCAACCCTCTGAAAAACAGACTATCCTCCTGCCATATCTTGCACCATCCTCACCATCTCTGATACCCTGGAGCTCACTGTCAATCCATCTTCTTGTAGACCTTCCACCTTTCCAAGAATGATGTCCTTTATCCAAGGATTGACCTCTCCTAACAACATACCAAAAGTATGTGAGACAAAGTTTCACCATCCTTGCCTCCAAGGAGCACCCTGGTTACACCTTCTCCAAGACATACTTGATTATTCTTTGGGCAGTCCAGAAGTTAGTCAGTAATCTCCAACACAACTCAAAAGAATCTATTCTTTTTCTGTCATCCTTTGTCATTATCCAACTACAGATACTTAGCAAGTAACTGAAAAGATCATGGCTTGGGTCAGGGGTGCCTTAGTCTTCAAACTGCACTTTGTAGAGGTCCCTGAAGGCAGATTTTCCCAATGCAACAAGTCTTTTGATTTTATGGTGTTGACTGTGAATCACAGTAAGGTGAAACAGTTGAAAATTTCAATCTTTTCTCCATGTATTATGATTTTGCCTAATGTCCCAAGGGTGAGGATTTTTGTTTTTATATTGAGATGTAACCCATATTGAAAACTGTAGCCTATGATCTGCAGCAAATGTTTTTAAGTCTTTCTCCTGGGGTTAGCTCTTATAGTTTACTTAAATTTAACATACACTGTGTCTGAATTTTCTTCTTCTATGCTTGCCTCATCAACAGTCTGTGAACAGAGAATGTGAATAGCCAGAACAGAGCTGGATGTTGCTTCTGTGTGTCTGCTCAGTGCCTAGCCAGAGGGCCTAACACTCAATACAAGCAAACAGCATGTTTTAATTGAGAATCTGGCTATGAAAAGAGGTGGAGGTTGGGGGTGGGGATCGAAAGGAGTACGTTCCAAGACTGCGTTGCGAATCCAGAGTGAAGGGTTAGGCAAGTATGGGTACCCCAAAAGACCTAGAAAGAGCCCCAGTTAAGTATTCCTTCCTTCCAATCCGTGGCACAAATACCAGCCATTTAGTCTACAATGACTTGTTGAGCACCAAATATGTGCCAAGCACTGGAGGTGGCGGAGATAAGTAATGCACACCCCATAAGGTCTTGGCGAGATAATAAAGGCAATCAGGGACAAAGGGGAGTCCACGTGGTGTGGGAAGTGCAAGGTCAGGTTTGCACCTGCTGATAAACGTCCCCCCAACCCTTCCCAACCATCTGAATGCCCGTACCTGCCTACCAAATGGGATCCCCCCAACCCTCCTCGCCCCCAGCCCTACACCACCTCTTCCTTTGTCTTCAGGAGCCAAACCCTTCTTACCCCTCCAGCTGCGTGGGCTTGGATTCCGGCCCCTGCCGCCGGCACCGGAAACGCCCTGCGCCGGCCCAGGTTCCCCGCAGCTGCGCCCGGAACGCTTCTGTCCAAGTGCAAGGCCGGGGAGCCCATTTTGCAGAACACCATCAGCATCCTTTCTGCGGGGAGGATGTCATTTGAGGACGCCGCTTTCCGCTCTTTAACTTCCGGCACGAGTGTGGTGATTGGCTGGCGGGTGCTTCCTCTACTGTGTGAGATTATAGGAATCACTTCCTTCGCAAGCAAACTAGCTTCTGCGACGGGGAGCGATCGGACCTTGCGTGGAGACGGAAAGTGTCAGATGTGTTTATATGTGGGCGTTCCTTTCTTGTGCATGCCCTTTAAGTGGAAATTTCTATTTAACTTGTCCACACTTTGTTTCCACACATTGGGTACCGTCCCCTCATATAACAGGTTTCCAGCTCCTTCTATTGAGACCCTGCCCGCCTTCTGAACTGTTTTGGGCAAATACTGCCCATTGATCTCTTAATGGTTGATTTGTTCAGAGAAGCAGGTTACTTTTGGTTGAAAACTTATCTCCAGAAGTAGGTTCAGGGAGCTCTGGTGGCCTAGTGGAAGGAAGCTGGCTGCAATCTCAAAGGCACGTGATTCGAATCCACCAACTGCTCCAAGGGAGAAGGATGAGCAGTCTCCTCTCATGGGATTTACTACCTCTGAAAACTCGCTGAAGGATCAGCTACGGATCAGTTCCAACTCAACAGTACACAACAACAGGAGTAGGTTCGGCATCAGGTGTGAAGGCTGTCTAAAAGGCAGTCTGTATCTGTGTATTTGGAAAGAAATAACAGATGTTCCACCAGTCCAAGAGGAATTGCACTGGGCAAATCTGCTGTCAGGGATATTTCCACAGCACTGAGAACCAATGATGTTGGTCTAGACACTACGGTGCGCCTGATGTAGTCCATTGTATTCGCAAGTACTTGTGCCCAGAACGCATCAGAGAGTTGGATAATGACTAAGAATGACAGAAGAATTGATGCCTTTGAGTTGTGGTGCTGGAGAAGAGTCTGGAACATACCATGGACCGCCAAGAAAACAAATAGATTTGTCTTGGAAAGAGTGAAACCAAGTTTCTCCTTGGAGGCTAGGATTTTGAAGCTCTGTCTCACGTACTTTGGGCACTTAGCCAGGAGGGACTGATCCTTGGAGAAGGACATCATGCTTAGAAGGGTAGAGGGACAGCACAGGAGAGGGAGACCCAGGATTGGATAGATTGAAACAGTGACTAGGGCAATAGGGGTAGGTGTGTCAGTGAGACTGGCTCAGGACAGAGCAGGGTTCAGAGCTACTGTACATAAAGTTATCAGTCGCAGGCAACTCAAGGCATATAACAACAACCTACTAATGTGTGCTGCACTCCTGAATGCAGTTGGTTCAAATCCACCAGATGCTACCTGGAGAAGGTGGGGCAGTCTCCTCCTGTGCCAGTCAGATCTGATTGGATGGCAAAGAACAAAACAACAACAAAAACACCACAACCAATATAGCTGGCTCATAACCAAGTCCATTGGGTCTCCAAGGCTTACATCACCTGCATGGAGGAGATTGTCCATCTTTCTCCCTTGGAGCCTCTGGTGGATTCAAACAGCTCAGCAGCACAACTCCTTATGAATGAGGCCACCACAGGACATAGGCAAAGATCTATGAGATTTGACACCTGAGCAAAATGAATACAAGAGAAAATGTGCCCTTTGTGAAAATTAAAATGTTTTTATCTGTAAAGATCCTATGAAGAGGATGAAAAGCAAGTGCCAAAGTGAGAAAATCCTGGCAAAACACATATCCACTAAAGGAAAACACAGAAATCTCAAAACGCAACATTTTTTCAAAAGCCCAGATATAAAATTAGCAAAATCTGGTGGCCTCACTTAAAGAGTATATTCAAATGGCAAATGAATGAAAAATAATGTTGAGCATCAGTCATTTGCTGTGCAATGTAGTCAATGCACACCCATAGCAACCATATGTCACAGAGTGAGAAAGAACCAATAGTGTTTCTTTACTAAGTCGGTGATCTTCACTAGAGTAAATGACTAGTCTTACCCTTGAAAGCAGCTGATGGGTTCCAGAAGACCTTTTTCAGTTGGCAGCAAAGTTCTTAACCATTGCACCACTAGCACATCTTTCAATAACTATTAGAGAAACACAAAGTAACAATGAAATATTTTTCAAAATGTCGTTATGTGCCGTCAAGTTGCCTGCAACTCATAGCGACCCTATGTACAATAGCTCTGAAGCCTGCCCTGTCCTGAACAAGGTTCACTGAATCCGGCACACCTACCCCCATTGCCCTAGTCACTGTAGATATCCATCTCATCCACGGTCTTCCTCTCCTGTGCTATCCCTTCACCCTTCTGAGCATGATGTCCTTCTCCAAGGATCAGGCCCTCTGGCCACATGCCCAAAGTATGTAAGACAGAGGTTCAAAATCCTAGCCTCCAAGGAGGCTTTCATAATAGCCAAAATAAAAATCAGTAATAATACCAAATACCAGGAGGAGAAAGTTCATTCATACATACAGCCACTATGGGACACAGCTTAACAATTCCTTATAAAACTGAACAGGTCACCATGACAAGATAACAATCCAATTGCAAAATGGGCAGAGGATATAAACAGACACTTCACCAAAGATGACAGTCAGAAGGCTAACAAGCACATGAAAAAATATTCAAAATCCCTGGCTCTAAGAGAGATGCAAATTAAAACAACTATGAGATATCATCTCACCCTAGTAAGAATAGCAAAATTTAACAGAACAGCAAACAATAAATGCTAGTGAGGTTGTGAAGAAACTGGAACCCTTATTCACTGTTGGTGGGAGTGTAAAATGGTGCAACCACTGTGGAAGGCGGTATGGCTCTTTCTCAAAAAGTTGCAAATAGAGATACCATTTGACCCAGCAATTCCACTACTGGGATATATCCCAAAGAGACCATAACTGACATCCAAGTGGATATATGCACACCCATGTTTATTACAGCTTTGTTTGTTCACAATAGCAAGGAGTTGGAAACAACCTAAGTGCCCATCAACAAATGAATGGATAGAGAAGCTGTGGTATATTCACACAATGGAATACTATGCTGCACTAAAAAATAAGAAACTCATGAAATATTAAAAATGGGTGATCCTGGAGGACATTATGATGAGTGAAATATCTCAATCACAAAAGAACATATACTGCATAGTGTCACTGTTGAAAAACGGGACTGATATCAGGGTTGGGGGGAGACTGAGAAAGATGGGATAAATAATGTATACTGCATTATTTATACTGCTTTATAATGTAAACAGATGAGGGAAAGAACTGTTTCAAAGAGATATGTGATTAGGTATTATTGTCATGACAGGAGTCCAGAACAAAGGCTGCATAGTGGAGTGTACTTGGGGGGAGGTATTGTATAACAATGAAAGAATTTTTCTTTTACTTTTCAAAGAGAAGAGCAAACTGGGGCAGGAGGTCAGCAGGGAGAAAAGTGCAATAAGAATGAATAGAAATCCAAAGTCTGTAAATTTTAATTAAAATTAATAATTAAAAAAATTTGAAAGTAAAAGTTGAAGTTGTCAAGGATTTAATTTTACTCAGATACACTGTCAATATCCACTGAAACAGGGAGTCAAGAAACCAACACTGTTACAGTGATAAATCTGCTGTAGTCAGAGACTTCTTTAGAGTGCTAAAGAGCAAAGATGCTACTTTTAAGAAAAGAGATGCCTGACCCAAACCATAGTATTTTTCAATTGCTTTATATGCATGTGAAAGTTGGATAATGAATAAGGGAAATGGAAGAGCTGTGACATTGGTGAAAGTATTAAATGTACTGTCGACAGTCTAGAAACTAAGATGCAACTAATCCAGGCCATAGTTTTAGCAATTACTTGCTATGCATCAGAAAGCTGGACGTGACTAAGAATTACAGAAGAAGAATTGATTCCTTTGACTTATGGTGCTGGAGAAAAGTCTTGAACATACAATAGACGGCCAAGAAAACTAACAGGTCTGTCTTAGAGAGGGCAGAACCAAGTTTCTCCTTGGTGACTAGGATTTTGAAGCTCCTTCTCACGTACTTTGTGCATGTGGCCAGGAAGGACCAATTCTTGGAGAAGGACATCATGCTCGGAAGGGAGGAGGGATGGCTCAGGAAAAGGGCTCAGGCAGTGGGGGTAGATGTGTCAGAGTCAGTGAGACTGGCTCAGGACAGGGCAGGAGTCAGAGCTTTTGTGCACAGGGTTGCTATGGATCACAGGCGACTTAATGGCACATAACAACAACAATATATACAGTCAAAAAAAGAAACAACTCTGTTTTGGAAGAAGTACACCAAGAGTGCTGCTTATAAGCATGAGTAGTAAGATTTCCTCTCACATACTTGCTTTGGGCATATTATCAGGAGGGGCATGTCCTTAGAAAAGAGCATTATGGTTGGAAAAGTAGAGGCTCGGTGGAAAAGAAGAAGACTTTAAATGAGGTGGGTTAAAACAGTGACTGCAAGCATGCGGTTAAGCACAGCAGAGATCATGAGGACAGCAAAGGATGGGGAAAGGTTTTAATCTATTGTACATCAGGCCACTATTGGTCAGCTGACTTGAGAACACATACCAATCAGATAAATGTTATGTATTTGTTTTCATGTGAGGAGATAGACAATGCACACGGGCTGTCAAGACTCAAAAGTTCAGATTTTCCTACTTCATTTTTTTCAAATTTTGCATTCTGACTTGCACTGCTAAAAATTCATTAATGGAATTATCTTTTTAACAGTGTATCAATGACCTGCTGTCATGTGCCAATTGTCAACAAGCTTGTCAGCTGTTTTCTGCTGTTACAATATTTAGCCACTGGAGGGCATAAAACATTCAAGCAAAAGTTAACATTGGTTCTACTTGTGAAGTATCTCTTTCGGAATATACTCTGAGAAAATGAGAACTGAGGCACAAACAGAGACTTGTACGCCAGTGTTAATAG